AACAGGCTTAAGTTTTTGTGGCAAACATCTTGGTGTGGGTAAATTCAACGTTCCGTTTTTTAATTTCTTTGACAATGTACTATTACGAAAAACACCCCCATCTGATATTCTACCTTGTGATCCGATATTTGCGTAAGTTATATTATAGTCAGCATCACACAAGACCATTAGAACGATACTGAATGTTCCTTTATAATTAATATAATCACTACCACTATTAATAGGAGAAAGTATGACCACAATATGCTTCCCATCTAGGGCACCAATACAATTAGGAAAATTCCATTTTTTTCCATATACGTCAGCGATCTTTTGCCATTCATCAGTAGTTCTTGGAGTCTACAAAAAAAATATTTCTAGTATAATAAAATTATGTAAATATCATATAATCATAATTTATAATATTTTTTAAATAGGGAGACAGTATAGTGAAAGCAACGACGAACATGATATCAGCGATGATCCAAACAATGATAGTTACATTGAGATCACGGAAGATAATGTCGACACCACCAAAGAAGACAATAATGAAAGACAAAAAAATTTTGATTGGTCGAGTGACACTACCAATATTGAAAAAAATACATTTAGTGCACCTGCAATGGCATCCCGAAAAAAAAAGAAAAAGCCGACAGATGAAAATGAAATACGTGCGTCCCAGGCATATGAGTATTTAATGCAAAAACAAAAAGAGAGCCAAAAGAAAATGGAGAAGGACGAATATGATATTTATGGTGCTTTAGTAGCAACAAAACTCCGAAAAATAGACGAAATAACTCGTCAGTATGTGATGAATGAAATAGATAATTTGATGTTTAGAGCAATAATTCATGCAAAGCACCAGTCACAAAAATCTACAACCACATCCATCTCAAAATACCTCATTAAATTATGTACAACAACCTTATACATTTCCATCTCAATTCCAAACATTCAACTATATAAAACAACCATTTATATCGCCATCTCAATGCTCAACGTTTAGTCACACATCACAACCATCTCCATCCAATTCCTCAACACCCAGTCGTTCATCACAAGTATCTCCACCACAAGCACCACTCAATAACTCAACAGAGGCATCAACAAAAGTAGTTCCAACATTAAATTATGTACAACAGCCATATTCATTGTCATCTCAAAATACATCAAAATTAAATTGTGTACAACAACCATTTCCTTCACCATCTCAAAATACAACGTTAAATAATTTACAAAAACCATATGCATTGTCTTCTCAAAATACTACAACATTAAATTATGTACAACAACCATTTCCTTCGCCAGCTCAATACTCAATGTCCAGTCATTCATCGAAGCCATCATCTCCATCAAATTCCTCAACTCCCAGTCGTCCATCACTAATATCTCCACCACTCAACAACTCAACAGAGGCGTCAACTGAAGTTATTGAAGGGACATTGGACTACGATTGGTTAAATCAAAATTTAAAAAAAAAATACTTATTAAAACATTTTTTAGCAATATCTAATTATGTTAAATACTATTAAATATGTATTAATTAATAATTTACAATAAATTACCTTTACTTGATCAGAAAGTTTTGTTTTCAATGCTTCACACACTTCAATTATTATTAATGAAATAACTTGAGGCGACATTTTGAACAAGTAGCTTAAACTTTGATAACTATCTCCACTTGCCAAAAACCGTAAAGTTACAGCTAAACGCTCCTTAGCAGGTATAGATTTTCTTAAGTGAGTGTCTTGTTTAGAAATAGATGGACCAATCAAATTCAGTAAATATTCAAAATCTGCCGAAGTCATTCGACAAAAATTTTCGAATTTTCCTGAACACTCGTATGATAGATCATTCATTAATTTATTACCACTATATCTACAAAATGTATATAGAATCATTTAGGATAAAAAAAAAATATTTATATATATTATATATATATTATTAAAATATACATACAGTTCTCGATTTTTAAATATAGTTGTAGTCCACCATCTTCGTGTTTTTGGTTTTTTTTTTTTTAGTTTTGAAGCCAATACAATATAAATTGCACTGGCGATTGATAATTCATCTTCGCTATCACTATTCATTTTTATTTAAATAAAAAAGAATGAACAACCTGTACGTTCAAACGAAATAATCGTACTAAACAACAGTAAGCTGAAACTGAACGAAACACTACGAAACGTGAAACACGAAACGCGAAACGCGAAACATGCATAGTGTGTATACCTTTTCTACGAAACACTACGAAACGCTACGAATCACTATGAAACGCGAAACGCGAAACATGCATAGTGTGGAGCGACCTTAAAGACCAGGCATGTCTATTTTTATATCATACTAATATGTGATAACTAATATTTATTAAGAAAATACTTTTAAAACATAACAGTTATTATATTGTAATTTTAAATTTTGTGATTTGTACAATGATTGTAAATTTCGCAATTTGTAAAGTGGTTATTGTACATATCGCGAATTGTATAATGTAACTTGTACATTTTACAATCTAGTTTGTATCTAACTTTGTATCTAACATATACAAATAATAATAATTCAACCTAACCGGCTAATTCAATTTCGTTAATATAGGTGTCAACGTATTGAGGACTTACCAAAATATCAAGTTCGTCTAGTGTAGCTGGATCGATAGGATTTTTGTTTTTTCTGTGGTTTCTGATAGTTCGTTTTAATGTTTCTTCGACGGGCCACGGGCATCTTTGCTCTGGTATAGTCATCTAACTGAGACACCGCTTCAGCATACAACTGCGACGGATTAGCCCCAGAACACTTCGCAGACTCTTTAATTTTAATTATGACTTTTGCCACATCAATTGTTGCTTGTTAAGCAGGGTGCTCATGCATAATTTTCAGTATTGGGTTTGTTTTAAGCAGGTGTGGAGAATAGCTGGGCAGTTTAGAGAACTCTTTTTACTATATCTCCATGTATAATATTTTTTTCCCGCGTGTTTCATTACGAACATATTGCCTTTAAACGTTACTTTTTCTTTTCCTTTATTAGAGGTAATAATTTCCATAGTTTAACACAAAAAAAACTTGAAAAACTTGAAAATGACAATTTAAAAGTTTAAGCCACTTCAAAGCTCGATGTTAAACTATACTGTGTAACAACTAAATACTATCCTCTGTAGGTAATACCTACAATAAAATGATGCACGTGTGCCTGTATTATTTTAACTGTCTAACGTAGATCGTTATCTAACAGTGTCGTTAGGTACCTTTTTTTTTGTCTTAATGGTAGTTATATCACAGAATAGATTCTGTGGTTACATGCCGCTATAAGCTGCATTCGAAATTTTAAATAGTTATATGTTGACGGTAGTTTTGTATGCAATGTTATTATTGAATGTGAATTATAAATTTTATTTCTAAGTTATATTATATATTGACAAACAGCCAATCACGGATGTATTTCAATAAATAAATATTTTTTTTGTGTTTATCTTATAAGAATTTAAATGTATATTTTTGCATATTTTACAATTTTTTCTTGCATACAAATCCTAGCCCTGCTTATGTCTAATGAGATATGACGTAAATACGTGATATAGCAAAATATAAAATGTTGATTTTTTTTCCGTGGTCTTTTTTCCTTTGGTTTTTTTTTCCATGGTTTTTTTCCGTCTACCCTTTTCTAGAGCCCTGTGTGGTTATTGGGATACAAATTACACAATTTTGTTTATTGTAATGTGACTATATGGTGCTCTCTTAAAAGTCCTCTTGCACCGATGAGTCATAGTATTACAGTTTAGTGAATGGTATAATGATAGGTACAGATATAGGTATATATAGTAGGTAATACCTATGTATTAATAATAAATAATTATTATTATTAGTTGTACACTTAACAGCTAATTATTATTATGGTTAGCAATGGTGGATCTAGGAATTTTTCACAGTGGGTGCTAAACCCTTCCTCTATTATAATAACTGCGATTACCTGGTTATGTTAAGGTATTATGTTATTTACGTTGCTGTAATAGCATATATTAGATTTAATGCAAATATGTTATAGTGTAAATAGTGCAGTAATGATGGTGTGTAGGCGTGTAGCCGTGTAGGTATTGACAAGAAATATGTTGTCGCTGCGACAGATCTTACGATATAATATGCAGTTTTCTGCCGCAACTTGCGCAGATGATAGACAGGAGTGGGTGACCAACTTATAACTATACACAGAGTGTAATGATTTCTAGTGTGACAATATTACTGCAACGACTAGCGTACAGTATATATATATTTTACAAACAAATCTTATATATGAACATACTCGTAATTAATAATAATATGCGGGTGCCCAAAACAATAAAGGTATAAAATAATATAGTATAATAACAATAATTGCACATATAATAATTCCTATAGATAGGCCATAGGCGCTAAGTACAATGACCTTCAATGCCACAGGTATAAAAAATATATAATAATAATGGAATACTTATAATCATTGGGCAAGTATGAGGGGAATGAAAATATGACCTGATGGCGACAGCAGTGGACAATCTGGCTCCTTGGTGCAGACGACGACTGCAGCTGATGATGGCAAGCGATCCGTTGACGACTCCAAACCGAACGGGAGTTGGACTTCGCTTGATACAATCTGGGCACACTCGATCAAACGTTCGAAGTGGCAAAATGGCACCTCGTGATCACACGATGTTGGGTTGCTACACGCAATAATAGTGGTGAACGAGCACGTTGCTCTCAGGTCAACCGTTGGAAAAAGACAAAATGCACAGACGCCGGGTGGGCTAGAGGTTCGGCCATCAGCTGACGAACTGTCACCGAACAGCGAAGGGGGAAACTTGCCGGACACCTTATCTTTTGCCACACCTGTGGTGTCCTGAGAAGATATATATAATTTGGCCAAAGGAAAAAACCGTTCCGAAATCGAACAAAATACCTATGTATTACTGCTTACTTTCCCATAATCCCATATAATATTATGAATGTATAAATAATAAAAATAAAAAAACGAGCTCCTTTATTTAAATTATCAAAGCAATATAGATATTTATTATTTTATCGATTTATAGGTACTACTAGAAGCAAATGAAAGGATAGTAATGTTTGCAACGCATGAAGGGCTTGTCAATTTAACAAGTTCTTTGAGATTGTATATGGATGGAAATTTTGCTTTGGCTCCAAAACTTTTTAGTCAACTGTATGTTATACGCATAGAAATAAATAAAAGTTTTACAACAGCAGTATACATTCTCTTACAGAATAAAACGTTGACAACTTATGAGCAAATGCTCACTACGCGCCTAACCTATAACCATCGCGCATCGTCTGTAGGTTGTTAGGACTTAATAATATTATCTACTCGTTATATTGTGATAATAAGAAAGGTCATAAATTATATAAGTGACAATATTATATCAAATGAATAATACAAATATCCAATAGTTCTTTTCTCCACTTAACCACCACCCCTCCCCCCACAATAAGGTGCCTATGTGGACTGGTAATGATTTGAAACGGCTTGCAAACGTTTTGGCACAAACAATAAAAAAATAGAAACGACGACCCTGCATACACAAGTATTCTCAGGCACGTATACAGGGGGGGGGGGGGGGNGGGGGGGGGGTGAAGCCCTCCCCCGCCGAAAATTAATAGTTGTGTAATTTATTTATATCAATCATCGATAACTACAATAACTGGTAGGTGACAATTTGTTCATGACCCCCCTCCCTCCCTTCGAAAATGTTTTTGTGTACGTGCCTGGGTATTCTCCATGTGTTGCAAGTGTCGCGTGAGTATAAGGGATGTACCTACGCATATTGTATTTAATGCTTGTGTATATTGTGCTACTCCATACACAGCATATACCCTTATGAATTATGATCAATTATATCTGTTTTTATTTAAAAATAATAATTCAATATTTAATATTAGGTACACCAGTATAATTACAGTGTTGGGTAAAATACTTTTGAAAAGTCATGAAATTATGTTACTCAATTCATTAACTTTTTTATTCAGTTAATAACCTTCGAGATACCCAACAGGTCTCTACAAATAACGATACTCTTTTTAAAAATGAATTACAAAATCAGTCCATGACAACTAATAAGTAGGTAGGTAGGTAGGTAGGTTCATTGTTAATGATTTAATGGCTTAATTCAATAGCTATACACGAACAAAATGTATAAGTATTAACTTATTAATATTTTTATATTTTTTGAGTCTTGAAGAATATTATTGGTTGTCATTTGTTATCTTAAGACTTTCGGAATAGTGGATTAATTTTATTGATTTTTAATTTTTCTCGAATACCGTTGTGCCCCTAGTTTCTTGTCACATACTCCACAATAATAACTTATTTAATAACGTGGAATAACACTTTACTTCCCTAGGAATTAGTTTGAAAAAGTAAATTCGTTACAATTGACAATTAATTTAAATGCAATTATTA